GCATCTCCCACAAAGTGTACAAAGATTAATATATAAATAATGATAATAATAAAAACAATAATGTGAAATTGCCATAATATAGTAGTACACAACAATTTAATAAGTTAAAATATATTGATCAATTGCAAAAAAAACAAAAAAAAAACAATGTCAGTGCCTGTACTGTTACACTAGAAAATTGTTCATTTCTTCCAAAACAATTTGTTGTGCCTTTTCTGGTAGAATGTAGTGATTACATATGGTTCAGCTAGTCTGTCTCAAAGTTAATGTTTCTCTTTGATTCTTACAAATGAAAAGGTTGCTTGATTGACTATTGAACTATATATGAATTGCTGGCATTCAGTCACAATTGATTTCATTAAAACCCAATATACAAACATCACAAAGGGAGTAATTTCCCTTACTAATTTTTCGTTGTGTACTATCTATCATTAACCTCAATCTTCTCAAGTTCACCCCTTAATGCAATGTTTTCAAATGTAAACAAGCATTCCTTGAGCAATAATATGACAATTCAATACTTTAAACTAAAAGCTGAAGAAAATGTTTATTTTCTATTGGGTTACTTATGAATAACAAACTTATCATCAGATGAGAAACAATGTATTGATTGGGCTGCTTAATTTATAATATATCCAAGAATGATTTCTAAGCTCTCCCAAATAATGAAATTAACATAACATTTTTAAAAAGTCAAATTGTCTGCACTAACATTTCACAATTAATGGTGTCCAGGAACACATCGTTTCAGGAAGGTCATGACGCCTTGTTTCACAAAAACATACCATGTATACCATGAGGTCCATATACCTTTCTCTTACTGATTTGACATGTAGTGTAGTGTAGTGTACTTGTTAGTTGTGTTAGTTTGTGGATTGTTTCATCAATTTTTGACAGTCATTTGTTTTGCATACTTGAACTTGTAAATTTTCTTAAATAATTTTAATTTGAAATTCTTCAGCAACGCATGCTATTCCATATTTAGTAAACGCAGTGAAATGCTCAGTGCTACAATATATCATGGTTTTCCTTGACTCTAAATAACTTAACATGGTTTAAAGTAGATCACAATATACTTACAATAATTACACTAATTAATTAATGCAAATTAACACGTAAAATAAATATAAAAAATACATTGCAGCCTCCACAAATGGTTTCAAACCTAACACCCTTGATGACACAAAGAACACATGTGGTAATTATGATAATGCATCGTATTTAAGGATCTGTTCAATAATTATTGTCTACTCTAGTATAGTTGATCAAACATAATTAACATGTTTGCATACATTTGCTGAGTACATCAGGAAATGTATGTAGGGATGAAAGTTGATCATATATGGATATTTTTATATTGAATTTGAAAATACATAATCAATTCCTTTCAAAAAAGTAATATGAATAATTCCCAATATACAGATTTTGAGTTAGTTGAACAAGTACAAATAATCAATTAATGTCCAAATTATTTTTTTTTTCAATACTCATATGAACATAATAGCACATATTGATTTTATTGAAAAGAAAACATGTTCTTGTTCTAAGATTATCCTGTATTTGCGAAACATTATTAGTGGTTTGAATACATGCAGTCTGTAAACAGTCTGTGATAATTTTTACCCAAAACAAAACAAAACAATGTATTTGTGAAAATCCATTACTGGTTTTAAGGTTTTTAGAAATATATGCAATCTGTAAACTTATTTTTCAATATTATTAAAATAACAGCACATACATCTAATAAATGTTTTTGTTCTAAGATTACCCTGTATTAGTGAAAATCCATTACTGGTTTAAAGGTCTTTAGAAACATATGAAATCAGTAAATTTATTGTTCAATACATTGAAAATAACAGCACATACAGTACATCTAATATTTTTTATTAAGGAAAAAAACAATGTTTTTTGTTCTAAGACTACCCTGTATTAGTGAAAAATAGTGGACAAAAAAATGTCTTTAGACAAAAAATTGTATGCCAGTCATCGCAATTAGACATATGAGTCCCATGTGACAAATCCAACACAATTCAATTATTTCGACATAATTTGAACACATGACTATAGTGTATAGCAAAATAATAAGTTATAGTTTTACTCAAATTAGGTAATAAAAAGAGTATGATAAGTTCTGAAATTGAAATGACTTGCATGAATCTTTAAATATTGGTAGAACAGACATACACACAAGCCTATCAAAATGGACGAACTTGTGCATGGCTCCCATATAGTGTGCTTTGCCAAATAAATATTAAAAGTACAGCAGTCAAGTCGAAATCAGAAAAACCTAATGTCACATGTGTGTGTCATCTGTAGAGTTGTTCAAAAATACACCTGAAACAGAAAAAGATACTATACATGATTTTCATTCATGTCTTTTCATGTTTTGCGATGTTAAAGCATGGGTCAATTTTTAAAGCGCCCTCTAGTGATACTCTGTTGCCTCAGTCATGCTTACCAGCTTTTAAAGTTTCTGTTCGCTTAGATTTCGAAGCAATCCGTGGCAGGCTATCAAGTGCCATTAACTCATCGTCTATCTCAGATGTGTCTTCATTATCTGATTGAATATCCCCTACACAACATTTCTGTGAAAGGAATAATTCCACAATTTATTACGATAACTGATGAATAGTTTTGTAGCCTGTATATAACTTAATATATAACTTACATTCTATAAAATTTGTGTAAATAAATATTGATTACTGATGGTAACAATTAAAGTTGCACTCTTAAATCATTCTTAAAGTTTTATTTTAATCTTGGGAATATTATGTGACATATTTCATGGTCTGAATACAACTGACAGCTTCATTGTTTTTCAAAATTACTGTGCGAATATTTGGCACTCTACTCAAACAATCAATAAAAAGATATGCTAAATGCAATAATATTCATAGAAGTGATCTGTGAATGCAACTTTATTGACAATCATGCACACCCCTAGCTACGCACCATATCAAGCATTTTTGACAGCATGAATTGTCTAGGGTCTGATAGTAATATGCTAAATGGGACAACAAAGCTTAAAATGGCCGCCAAGGTCTCATTGAGAATGAGAGTCAAGAGACTTGCCCCCCAATAGTGTTCCATTCTCTCCTGTCATAAAATTTGCTATTGGTTACATGGTTAGGGAAATAGTGGTTGTGGAAAATTTTTTGACTCTTTGGTCCCAAACAAGATCTTGGAAGCCAATGCCATCTAAGGTATAATGAACACATTAATATTAAAATATTCATATCAAAAAGATAGCAGCCGATACCTTACAAATAAAAACCAAAACCGAAAAAACAAACCTATTCCTTATACCACTGCAGCAGTACTTTAAAGGGCAATGGTAATTGTACAACGCGTGTTCGAATTTCATGTAAACAAACAATGTATTTTACACACGTTGTGTACGTAGCTATAAATCCCGATATCGAACAGGGCGCAGCGTGACAACCATAGCCCTTTAACAGGAAACACCTAGAATGTGATCAAGATGGAATCTCGATTACATCCTTATACTGACTTATGTCAGTAGAATATATTGTTATCCTACAAGTATACACAAAAAAATCAGTAAAAGCACCAATTTTACTGCTCTGATGTACTGTTATACTCATTTTTATTATGTTGTTGAAGAATTCACTGAAATATTTTGCACTACATTTATCATTGAATAAATGATCAAAACAATAGTAACACAGTCCGCAGTAATTATTGTGTATGATATGCATGATTCAATTCACAATGTATACAACAACTTCAAACTGAGCTGTCTCATTACATTTACTTTACAAATTACATACTAAATATGCAACTGTCAGAAAAATATGTATGTATAAAAAAAAGTATGGTATTAGACATTCACCATCCTAACAAATATGCATTGGTATGCTGGTACAATAAAATATGAATAATATTTACAATAGCAATTGCATGCACTAATAGAGCAAGTACAGTAACCATCTTGCATTTTCAAGATAATATCAATGCACAGAATTATAGATGTGCTTCAAATAGAGCTATGAAAATATAGGCGAGTTATAATATCCTTATTGTAGCTTTTGGAAATGAACTCATTGATTATCAAAAGGGAGAAAGAAATAAGGTTAAGGTAGAAAGAAATGGATAGTTACAAAAATTTGGGTGTAAAATAAAGTAATGATGCAAATGCTAAAACAATTTAGATTTCTTAGACCAAATGAACAAATGTAAGAGTGACCTGCAGTTAAAGTTGAGGTTTTGGCACAAATCCGAGAGATCAGTAAATTTGCACTGCATTTATCTCACAGAATATTCATGCATATGCTCACCCCTGTTCTGTTATCATGTAATAATGTCTAGGGAATTGCAAACATATAGTGGTTTTATGTATTTCACTCTGAATGCATTTTTACCCCTATTGGAATTTTTAGATTTTTTTTTCTTCTTTCATCAATCTGACAGGTGCCTACAAATGTGATTAACATGCTCCAAATTTTCAAGTTGAAAACATTTTTATTTATAAGCTAACCTAAATTATCACCAAAATTGAAGATATAGTATTGAAATTAGCAATTCTTAGTCCACTTGGAATATATACATATACAAAAATAAAAATTGTACAGGTGATTTTTAAGACAAAGTCAAACATAATATTTTAATAGAGAATTAAAGATATTGCCAAGAAATGAACAAATCTTACAGTGGTCCACCCAAGGTACCTACTATCAAAGAACTTGAGTTGGTAGTTTTCAATAAGAAGCTGCAAATAGCATTTTTTATAAAAAATTACAAAAATTTTCGCCAAAAATAAAGAATTGAAAATATTGTCATAAAATGAACAAAGCTGACAAAGGTACCTGCAGTTGTACATACCATGTATCAAATCAATTGAGCTGGTAGTTTTCAAACAGAAGTTGCAAATAACATTTTTTTTTGAAAATGACAAAAATAAAGAATTGAAGATTTTGTGATGAAATGAACAAAGCCGACAAAGGTCCACCCAAGATACCTACATACCATGTATACAAGCAATTGAGTTGGTAGTTTTCAAGAAATAGCTGCAAATATCATTATTTTTTTAATGAAATTTAATTAAGAATTGAATATATTGTCATGAAATGAACAAAGCTGACATAGGTCCACCCAAGGTATTTACATACCATGTATAAAAGCAATTGAGTTGGTAGTTTTCAAGAAATAGCTTAATTAGCATTTTTTTTTGAAAATGACAAAAATAGAGAATTGAAGATATTGTCACAAAATGAACAAATCTGACAGAGATCCACCCAAGGTACCTACATACCATGTTTCAAATCAATAGGTAGTTTTCAAGAGGAAGGAGAAATGCAACAAAATTACTGTATATGTTGAAGGAGGACGTTCAAGAACAATCACTTATATGAACAGCTCCACTCTGTCATCTATGATGACAGTGGAGCTAAAAAGATTCATTCTTGAGTGGCTTTCAAAAATACCTGTTTATTCTGTTCACACACACAAGGTTTTTTTCAGACTGTTTGTCTGGGTATAAAGTATTGCACTGCATGCTATTATACTTGAATCACAGCCAGATAATATAAAATAAAATTTTAAAATGATTAATAGAAAAATATCATACTTACAAATATTATTTCATAAACAATTTTGATGAGAAAATGGATAACTAATACACCCAACTGTATCTGTTAAAACAAAGTAAATTTAATTAGCAATTAGTGTAAATTACTTAACAATAAATAAAACAATATTTGAACATTTTAATACATGTAAGATTTTACCATACTTATTTAACAAGTCAAGCTTTTCAATTTAAAGGGAATTGCTGTGTTTTTGTCTTATCAGCGAAAATAGCAAATTAATGCATTTACACTAGTCTGAGACAAAATGACCTGAATATATATGAAATGTACAAATCTGGCATAACATGTGATAAACAAAATGTAGCATTGAAGAATTTCTGATGCATTTTTTGGTGGCCTTTTTACAGATCCCACTTGCCAGGACTGTCTTCGGCATGTGGCCTACTGAACAACTGTAGTTGGCCGAAATATTTATGTAGCCTATCACTTGATCAACAATGCTTTGTTTGAAGCATTTCTGTAGTTATATTATTGAAAGTATGAAAAACAAAAAAAAAATTATATTCAGTCATTTTTTACTTAATTTTAGTCATGGTGTTAATGTATGTATGATTAACCATTTTCATTCTTTTTAGAGATTAACCAAACAATTGAAGCGTTGGGTTAGAATAGCAGTACATTGGGTAAAATGGTTGTGAACGTGAAGCCACAGTCGTATAGTCATGAAAGCGAAATTTGACGTCAAGCAATCCCTTGGACAAACATTGGTATGGCATATGCACTTTTACATTCGCATATACCTAAGCTGTCAGATGATGTACCGGGGTATAGGTTCTTATAGTAACAAGAAAATGACTGAATCATAGACAGTTTGACAGATTTTTACCCCTGTTGCTACCTTTAAAATCTGCTCATTGATAAATAAATGGAAGATGAAATATGAACACAACTTACTATTGCTACATATTCTATTGTAATTTTGATAGATGAGAATGCAAACCCAAACAATATGGCACTGTAATAAATCCATACAATGTGTAACAAATACATACTATATGATGAAGTGCAGATTACAAGCGAATCAAATGTGATTACAATGTGAAAAGGTGAAATGTTCACAAACAGTTTTGCAATATGAATGGGGAGTTGTCACCTGCGCATGTGGCACATGTGTTTACAAACAAGAATCTACCCATGAGCCTTTGCATTTTAGCGTGTGTTTTATCATCGCTTGGGACTCAATTCCCGCGTGTGCGCAGGTGACGACCCTCCCACTATAACAACGTAGCACACATGCAGTATAGTCAGTTAAGGCAGTTTAAATGTAATTAATATTTTGACTGTACATATATACAATTAGTGGATTGAATAAAATGCTACACATATATGCAATGCATTGCGGTAGAGAACTTCGATCCTGATAATTGTTATTACAATAAAACTTGCTAAATCAAATTTCAACTCTTAAAATAGGCATTGATATCAATAATAATATATAAATTTTCAATTGCATGTCACAAAGCAAAATTTCAAGATATGAAGAAATAATTTAATCATAAAAACCGAGTACAAAAATTTGGATCATTTCAGACTATTGACTCAGATACTAGTATCTTACACACACAATCACTAGCATACTGCTACATGCTGTAGCATTATACACCCTCACCCAGAGCAACCAGAAAATTTTTTTTTATAAAACATACACAAAATATAAATAAATAATGCTATAATTTACCTTATTATAGGATACACAAGTAATTTACATAAAGTTATTCCATAATTAAGACCCTTATGGTGAGCAAGTAAATGTTTATCCCTGTAAATGAATAAAGAAACACACCATTTATCAATTACTGGTATTCGTACAAGTAAATGTTTATCCCTGTAAATGAATAAAGAAACGCACCATTTATCAATTACTGGTATTCGTACAAGTACATGTATACAAAAGCTTTTTTTTTAGTTGTTCATATTTTTATTTCATTAAACTAGCCAAGATTGCAGATAGTGTGTTTGCCTTCCATCAGAAAGGTTGTGGGTACAGGAGCCAACTATTCACTTAGTATACTGTAAAATCTGTATTTGAAGCTGTGGCTTTCACTTAAAATGGTACAATGCAACAGAGGGGATGCGGCTTCTATTAGAGCATCTACACATATGAGAGATGGTGAATGTTTGATTCTCAATTGTTCAAAAAGAATGGGTGCAATTTCTATTAGGATGCGGCTTCTAATACAGATTTTACGGCAGTAGCTAAATTTGAGTACAGTCTGCATTGCCTTCTAAACACATGACATTAGGGTTAATAAGACTGATTTGCACACATGCACTTGCAATTAGCACAAAAGTAACATCAGGAAGGACAGGAAAGACTTATCCGGGATTGCTGCCAGGCAAAAATATTAAATCAAAGAAAGCTTAGGAAGAACTCCCATGTGCCGAGAGCATTGGAGACACATTAAATATAATTCGAAATTACTTAGCTGAAAACTAATTATGCAAATCAGAAAATTAATATGAACAGATTTGAGTGTAAAACTAATGAGGTCTGCGCAATGTAACAGAAAATCTATGTTTCCAAGTTTAATTGAAATGTGATTAGAACCAAAAAATTATGAATTATTATGCTTATTATGGAATTAATATGAACAGATTTTTAACCCAAACTAATTAGGTTTATACATTGTCCTAGAGCATCTTTGTACTAAGTTTCATTGAAATGGAATAATTAGTACTTTAGATATCAGTGTGAAAGCTTAAAATTGGTTAATTATGCAAATTAGGTAATTAATATGTACAGATTTTAACCCAAAATTATCCAGGTCTGTCTATTGTCCTACAGCATCCATGTATAAACAGTCATTGATATGTGATGATTAGTATCTGAGATATCAGTGTGAAAGTTGGAAATTGGTTAATTATGCAAATTAGGTAATTAATATGCACAAATATTTATCAAAAACTAATTGGGTCTCTGCATAATTCTAGATTCATTGATATGTGATGTTTAGTACCTGAGATATCAGTGTGAAAGTTGGTTAATTATACAAATTAGGTGATTAATATGCACAAATATTTACCGGAAATTAATTGAGTCTGCATAATTCTAGATTCATTGAAATGTGATGATTAGTACTTTAG